CAGCCTCTTTGGGGGGGGTCTGTGTTACACAGAGAAACACACGCCTGTCAGCTCCTATCCCCCAGAAAGTAGATGTAGAAAAGTACACTGGCCACTCTAGACTGCACACACTGAAAGATCAGAGCTTCCTCAGACAGTAGGCTCTGCTCTCTGTGTGTCTGCCCAGTCCAGGCTGCTGTTCATGTGGACCCCCAGGTATTTAAAGCACTAATGTTTGTGAGGACATGCATCTCGCCTATTTTAACTGTTTTCTTTAGTCAGCATCACTTAGTGATTATCTCTAGGGTAATGAACTGCATATATATACATCAGACTGGGACCAGGGTGGCCCATTAACCTTCACTCTATGGGCCTGATGGCCCAGGATGGTAATTTGCATAGAGGAGACACTTTTAACCCTGATGGTGTTGAATAGGGCAACAGTATAAATACCCCGGAGACAACACATTGGGGCTGCTGCCACAGTAGTGGATCCTAGTAGGATGATGATTGGCATCACACCCAAGATAGAGAAATTGCTCAAGGACCAAAAGGAGCAGGATTACTCTTGGCATTCACAGGATTTAAACCAGCAACATTATGATTGCTGATACAGATCCCCAGCCTAAGAGCTATCACTCCAGGCTACTACATATTTAAGAATACGATAGGACAGACTAATATCTGTGGCATTCCATTTTCAGTTGTGGTGGGTTTCAAAAAATGGGCTTCCAAAAATCAAGCCTAATAAAAATATTAAACGTTACATGAGCAAATTGATTTGATTTGTTCTTCTATCCCAACTTGTGATCTAAAAGCAATGAGGCTGCCACCCATAATATCTGCTTTATGGAAATGCACTCCCATAGCCACTAGGGGAGCTCTCACCTTCTTTCAGTCCTGCTAAATTATGTTGGAATTCATTCCACTTGAAATGTTACAACTTGAACAGTGTCAGTGTAAGTGTGTGGCTCAGTAGCCTAAGTATTTGGTCTTGTAATCCACAGGTTGCTGGTTCAAAGCTAACTTCAGCTAGATAACTGCATGTTTATGGGCCCTTGAAACATAAAAAATAATGAATATAGTGAATTACTATACTCTCAAAATACTTTTGTAGTTTTGTGAACAACACCGTTTATTAAACAAACAATTCTGCATTAAAAATAAAAAATAAAAAATAAACTATTAGTTGAAATATTCCTTGGAACAACTGTGGAAAACTGAATTTACAGTATTTTCCTTGAGACTTGAAGGAAGAGTCCGTTAACGGAAAATGTGCTGGTAATTTTCTGCCAGTACATTTTCTGTTTTTTGACGGATATTTTTTTACAGTGTAGGTAAGTAGAAATAAAATAATAGAATACAGGAGTAAAATAGTGCAAGCTGAATAATATACTGTGGTAGAAAAATTATAAATCAACCTCTCTGGTAACTCTAGTTGAGCCACTTTGAATAA